CCTCGTCCTCCTCCTTCCCCCCTCGAAATCATGGTGGTGATGGTGGAAGACAGGCCCGTCATTGCGAGCTGGACCGGCAGCAGGAATGGGAAAAAGGGGGGGGGCGGGAGCGGCCACGGGAAGGGGGGGGCAAAGAGGGGGGTGTCCAAGAGGGGAGGGGGGGGGGGGGGGGGCAAATCATGGCTGGCGGCACGTGCGCGGCCCAGCGGCGGGGCCAGAGACGCAATGGAATAAGAAGAGGCGCCATGAAATCTGGGGAGTTATCATGGCCCCCGCCATGATATCCCCCCCACCTAGTCATCACCACCCTCTCTGCCGCCCCCGAGGAGAGGGGGGGCAGGCGAGAGCGCTCACGCGGCGGGGCCCGCCGCCCAGACCCCCGCGGGCAGTGGAACATCATGACGCGAGGCTTGTTGCTGCCAGTCGGACTCGATTGGGCAGGACACGCTTGCAGCGTGTCCCGGAAGCTCTTCCGCCAATACGTTCCCGCGGAGCGTCCCCCAGGCGTCTCTCCAGCGTCTCCGGCAGAGGCTCTCCCACCAACGCGTTCCCGTGGAGCGTGCCCCTAACGCCTCTCCCACGTGCCCGGAAGCTCTCCAGCTGGTCGTTCGGAAGCGAGAGGACACAAGTGAAGGGGCCCTGGGACACACAAATCAATACTCGCACAAATAAAAAGATTCCCCATACTTTCCCATATGTTCTGGGTTTTTGTCTTCCCCCCACTTCCGATATTTTCCAATATTTTCTTGGGAATCGACGATTCATTGTGTCTGTGTGTTTTTTCCCTCCTGAACACGACCCGTCCGGGGGCCACATCGCCACAGGAGTGTGAAAAAGGCACGTGCCGCAAGGCGCAGGACACAAGGGTGCCCTTGAGCGAGCAGGGTCGACCTCCTAATCCGGGCCGGCTGTATTTCCGGCCTCCGGGGGCCCTCACTGGCCCTCGAGACTGTCAACAATACGACTCAGGCTGAAAAACCGGTCCTGGGGAATGGGTCGAGACCTCCAGGGGTCGACGTAATGAAAAACATCATGGTGTCGGGGACCTGGCCGCGGACCGGCCGGGGCGGATGGCCGGTGCTGCACCCGTGGCAGCGGGCGCGGGGCGGCGTCGCGGGCACACCCGAGGGCCAGGCCAGGAGGAGCGGAGAAAAGGCAACGATGACCCACTGCGGCTGAGCCGTAGGCGGCATCCCACGTGGCAGAATGCTGCGGTACGGTGCTGGGCGGGCTCCAGGGCGTGGGCTGTGCTGCAAGCGGTGGCCTCCAGGGCGGGAAAGGGGGGGAACCCCGCCAGACAGGCCCGCCAGCTCGGAAGCGGTGTTGCCGGCGGCGGGGCGCGCGCGCGCGCGTCCACCCAAAAACCCACGACGGCGAAACCGGGAGGTTGGAGGTGACCCGGCGGCAAGGCAGAGGTGCCCACGCCGCCGACGTCGGCGGGGGGTGGGGTGGAGCCGAGGGCGCGAGTGAGAGCGCTTGGTGAATGGCACAGGCTTACCAGGGGGGACCACTCTGGAGCAGATCGTGGGGATGCTTCGGGCGAGAGCGCGGCGAGCAGGGAGGAGGCAGGATGGGGGAGTGAGGGAGGATGAAAACAATTCGAGATTCTGTGCGAGAGGTGGCCCAGTTCGTTTCAACTGAGACTTCGTTGGAATTTTGAACTCTGAAAATCTGGCCCGCTTCGCTTGGGACATCCTCGCACTTCGGGGATACGAGATGCTGCAGGCGAGGTGGTCTGGCCCGTTCTTTCTGGAAACATCCCCGAAACTCGAAGCTCCGAGCGGGGGGGGGGTCAGACCCAAAGGAACCATGTGATTACACAGATGTTGTCGGATTGTGCTCTCGGAAGGGTCTGGGCGCCGCCTGGAACATCCTCGCAATTCGGGGCTCCGAGATACTGCAGGCGAAATGGTCCAGCCCGTTCCGCCCGAGGCATCCTCGCAACTCCGGGCTCCTTGAAGATGTGCGCGGAGTGGCCCAGCTCGTTGCGCCTGCAACACCCTCGCAATTCCAGGTTCCTTGAACATGTGCACGGGGTGGTCCAGCCCGTTTCGCCTGAAAGATCCTCGCAACGCTGGGCTCTCAGAAAATGTGCGCGAGGTCGACTGGCGCGTCTCGCTTGAGACATCCTCGCAACCCTGGGCTCCGAAGTGCCGCGCAAGAGGTGGTTTGGCCCATTTCGCCTGAAACAAAGATCGAGGCCCTGGGTTCCGAGAAGGATGGCAGATGAGCGAGGAGGAGCCAGACCCAGACGGACTATGTGATTCCACTTTGTCGTCGAACATCGCGTTCTGGGAACGGTCTGGGCACCGCTGGCCCGACAGAGCCGGCGCCGCGGCGCGAGCACGATTCCCTGGTAGATTGCAGGGGCTGGTCAGGGGGGAGCCCAGGCTGGAGCAGCTCGTGGAGATGCTTCGGGCGGGAGCGCGGCGAGCAGGGAGGGGGCAGGGTAGGGGGAGGAGGCATGGCGGAGGGACAAGCTCCGAGGTGCCGCGCGAGAAGAACGAAGGAGGGAAGCGGAGCCGCTCCAGGCTCAAACGCTGCCTGTTTGAGGGCATCCCTGATGAGGGTGCCTCCCGGAGGCGGCATCGAGAATGCGAAGGCGTCCCAGGCATGGCGGAGGAGCACGAGGAATCGGAGAAGAAGAGGGAGGAGGAGGAAGAGGAGGAGGAGGAGGAGGAGGAGGAGGAAGAGGAGGAGCAAGATGAAGCGGAAAAGAAGAGGGAGGTGGAGGAGAAGGGGGAGAAATGCGAGGACGATGAGGGACAGGAGGAGGAGGAGGATAACAATTGAGAGGAGGAGGCGGCGGAGGAAGAGGGGGAGGAGGAGAAGCCTTGCGAAGCGGATGAGGACGAGAACCAAGAGGAGGAGGACGAGGAAAACAAGGAGGAGCACAGCGAGAAGGCGGAGGAGCAGGAGACGAAATACAAGGAGGAGCTCGATGACGAGGTAGGAGGATGAAGAGGAGGAGGAGGAGGAAGAAAACGATGAGGAAGAAGAGTGCCAGGAGCATGAGGAGGATTTCATTTGAGGAGGGGGACGAGGTGGCGTGATGTTCGGAGATACAAGAAGAGGAGGAGGAGGAGGAGGAGGAGGAGGAGGAGGAGGAGGAGGAGGAGAGGACCAGGAGGATCAGGATGAGGATGAGGAGGATGACGAACATGAGGAGGAGCGGAAGGAAGAGAGAAGAGGGAATATGATGATGAGGAAGCAAAGGAGGAGGAAGAGGACGAGGAGGACGAGAAAGAGGAGGAGACTTACGTGGACTCTGGGGGGGACGACGACGACGACGACGATCACGAAAAGCTCGACGACGACGCCGAAGGACCAGGCGAATCAGAAGCAGGGGAACGCGCTGGCTCAAACAAACGCTGTTTGGGGATACTGGACTCTGGCTATACTGAAATCGTACTAGTCAAACTACTTTATACATATACGCATATGTATGTGTATATGTATATGTATATGTATATGTATGTATATCTATATATATATGTATGTATATATATATATATATATATATGTATCGATCTATCTATCTTTATATATATATATATATATAGCACAACTCCAGGCCCGACCGAAGAACATGTGTCTGGAGCGCCCCAGGAGGGCACCAAACGGCTCCAGATGGCCCAAAGATGGCCCAAGGATGGCCCAAAGAGGGCCCCAGGAGGGCCCGACAAGCGCCCCCCCAGAAGGCCACGATGGGCCCAAGATGGCCCAAGATGGGTACTCGACGGCCCAACGGGCTCCCCGGATGGCCCATGGGGACTCCCAAGAGGCCCCCGGGAGGCAACAACTATGGGTTTTCCCAAGGTTTCGGTGAACTTGGGTTTTATCCTATGTTTTCGGTGCAATTTTCGTAGACAGAACGCCCGAGGCGGCCAAGGAGGCCCCTGAGATCGCTCCAAGATGGCCCTAGGGGGCCCCAAGACGAGTGCAACACAGCCCAAGAGGGGCCCAAGACGGCCCCAAGACGCTCCAAGAGGGCCCCCAGAGGGTTTCCAGGCGGCCCAAGAGGGCCCCAAGACAGCCCAACTGGGCCCCCAGACCGCCCCAGAACGGCCCCCAAGAGGCCCCTAAGATTGCCCTCAGGGACCAAGACGGCCCCAAAGGGCCCCAAAACGGCGCGGGAGGCCTCCAAGACGACCTGAACACGGCCTCAACCCACTCGGGACCATGCATTAGTACGGCGACGGTCAACAAATCATACACTCACGCATACACATACGATACATCAATATATATATATATATATATATATATATATATACATATAAATATGTATAGATTATACACAAAATTACATATGAGTGTGATTATGTACATATATATATATATATATATATATAAAAAAAAAAGGTGTATGTGTATGGATGGGTAATGTCTATGTATTGACATTCTCTACAGGTATATGTATTGATGGTAATGCATATGTACTGACACTCTCTACATGTGTATATATATATATATATATATTGTATACATATATATATACAAATGCATCAACAAATATATAAAGCATGCCCATGCCAATATTCATATTAATCTCCGGATCCATATCCATGTCAGCCGCCTGCCAAGGCTCCCGAACGTCAGCCCCCCTCAAGGGTTCGCTCACTGATAAAATCGCGGCCTCGGCAACAGGTCAGCGCGTCCCGTCCCTGGGGTTAGGAGGCAACTACTGGGAGGTTTTCGTCGGAAAGATTAAAAAGGATTAAGCCTCTTTGGGGGGCTGTTACGCCGGAGTGGGCCTCGGATTAAGCCGGATTGAGCGGGATTGAGCCGAATCAAACCGGATTTCGGACCAGGGCGGAATCAGAATTTGACCTCCCAGGAGTTGCATCCGAACCTGGGGGGGGGGAGATCGGGGCCCTGGGAGGGGGGGAGGAGGCAGAGAGGGAGGAGGAGGATGAGGAGGAGGAGGAGGAGGAGGAGGAGGAGGAGGAGGAGGAGGAGGAGGAGGAGGAGAAGGAGGAGGAGGGGACCCCGCAGGCCTCCTCGGCCTCCTCGTCGCAGGCTGCTGCCCCGCGCGGCGCGCCCGCGGCGCCCGGCGGCTGCAGGCCAGGGACGGCCTGCGCCGGCGCAGGTGCTGCGACGGCGAGGGCGACGGCGAGGGCGACGATCCCGAAGGCAACGACGGCGGCGACCACCCTCACTGAGGGGGCCCTGGGAAGCCCCCCAAAAACAGACACGAAGAACAGGAGTCCCCGTATTTCCCCAACGTTTTCTGGGTTTGGGGCTTCCCCACCCCTCCCACCTCCCATCGTTTCCCAGACCGTCTGGGGGATCGACGATGAATTGTGTCTGCGTGTTTTGTGTCCCTCCCGACTCACGGGCGGGTCGGGCGGACTGGACCCGAAAGGGCGGGTCCAGGCAGGTCGAGAGGGCGGGTCGGGCGGGCGGACACCAGCGGTCGGGGCGGGCGGGCGGACCCTAACGGGCGGACGGGAAGGGCAAGAACCACCCAGATGATCCCCCTCCTCGAGGTGCGAGGTAGGGACTAGAGACCATCTCCGCCGCCTGGGGGTTCGACCTCGGGAGCCCGCGGCAAGCGTTGGATGTGGACATGTTTGTCCCCACCCGCCATGGCCCAAGTGTATCCACATCCGCCGCCTGTCGCGGTCCCGGCAGGTCGATCTCCAAGGCGGTGGTTGGAAGCCGTCTCCGGGCCCCAGGAGGGGCCCATGGGCCGCTCAGGATGAGCGCGACGGCCCTGGAGAAGGGGTCTACATCCAGGGGCGGGTCGCGAAAAGTGCGACGGCGGATGAAAAGGGGAGGATGGGGAGGAAGGAGGAGGTGAAGGAGGACATCTTGGAAATATTAGGGCGGGAGTGTTCCGACGGCTTCGGCGTCTGAAAGCCTGGGTCGGGCTCCAGGACCATCAAACATAGATGTGGGCTGAAACAGCTGGTCCATGGTCAGGGTCGGGACTTACGGGGGCCCCGTATACAGTCAAAAATCCGAATAAGGACGCGCGGTAAGGACGCAAGACCCTTGGAAACCGAAGTTGGGATTTTTAGACGGACGACGAAAACCTCAAGGACGCAAGAGCAAGGAAGAGCAAGGACGCAAGGGTACCCTGAGCAAAGTCGCGCGTCCTTATTAGGGTGTTTGACTGCAGTTGAGCTGGAGGGGGGGAGGAATCGAGGGAGGGAGGACGTCGACAGCCTCGCGGCAATTCCCTTGGGGGGGGCCACCCCCGCAAGCTGCAGCGCGGTCACGCCAGGAAGCGCCATTCCAGAGGGGTACGCCGCGGCGCAACAAGGATGTGTCCTCCCAGCAGGTTTCACCGCAGATCCTCCTGAAAGCGCCAACCCACCAGGTTGCACAAGACAAACACCTGGAGACCAAAAAAGGCGCACTGTAGCGCTTCCTGGGGGCGCTACCCCATCAGGCTACACCGCGGCGCCTCCTTGAGGCACCATCCCAGCATGCTATACCGCAGCGTCTCGATGAGGCGCCAACCCAGCAGGCAACGCAGCAGCACCCCCGGAGGTGCCGACCCAAGCGAGCACCCTGCAGTGCCTCCTGGAGGCGCAATCTGGACAGGCTGCACCGAAGCTCCTCGCGGATGCATCATCACGGCACGCGACATCGTGGCACCTCCTGGAAGTGCTGGAAGTGTGGGATAAATCGGTACAGTGCGAGTCGATAGGGTGTGGATCCAGAGGCTTACATACTTATGCAGCTCGGCTGGGGCGGCGGAGCCGCACCGCTGGAGGCGCGCGCAGTCAGCCTGCAGCCTCCGCAGGAGGCCTTCAGAGTCACGGAGCCACGCCGCCGCTAGGGATGGGCTTCCGAGGGCACATGCCGCGAGCGTCTGGCAAAGCCGGCGTTGCAGGTCGTGCAACTCGACGGGGAGGGCAGCGGGAGGGGCACTGGGCTCCATGGCGGCGGTCTATGTTCCAGAAGGTTGCGGCCAATGACTCCAGAGACGGCAAGCACAGCACAGCACAGCGCAGCACAGCACAGCACATCACACCACATCACAGCACATCACACCACATCACAGCACAGCACATCACAGCACATCACAGCACATCACAGCACATCACAGCACATCACAGCACGTCAATTGACGTGTGTGTGTGGTGTGTGTGCGTATGTGTGTGTGTGTGTGTGTTGTGTGTTGTGTGTGTGTATGTGTGTGTTGTGTGTGTGTTGTGTGTGTTGTGTGTGTGTTGTGTGTGTGTGTGGTGGGGGGGGAGGGGGGGGGGGCGTGTGCGTGTGCGTGCGTGCGTGCGTGCGTGCGTGCGCGGTGTGTGTGTGTGTGTGTGTCGAAAGGCTGCCGCATCTCCGTGAACTGGTCCAGGATGAGGGGGGTCGTGGAGCGGGGGGCACTCGCCATCGCTCGGACGTTCATTCCCTGTGCTTTTTTCGGTTTCGTGCGTGGTTTTTTCGCCAAATGATCGAGGATGCTCTTCGATGGTCCTCGCCGAAGGGAAAAATGCACACGTCCGAGCGATGCCAAGGGCATGGTGGCGATGCCGAGGAGAGCCAGGACGGGCGACCCAGCGGCGCGACTCGCCTGGGGCGCAGCAGGCGAAGTCGCCGCACACCGTCAGGAAGCAGCGGCGAGGATCCGCCCTCACGGTGGCAGAATTCCCGGCGATGGCGGCGGACACGGCAGCCGCGTCGGCAGAGGAGAGCCCGTCATTGTGGATGTTGTTGTGGACCCAAGCGCACTCGTCGACGGTAGTGGAGACACGAAGAGCTCGACCAGGAACAAGAGCAGAGGAACGAAAATGAACATGAGCACCTAGGCGGGGCTTGGGCACCAGCGTGATGACGGATCCGTCGTCCACCTTGAATCTGGGGTTGGTGACAAAAGGGGAAGGAGTGGAACATCATGTAGCGGTCCAGCAACGGGTAGAGCAGGTAATTGAGCTTCTCGGGAGTCCCGTGAGCCTCCTGCAAGGCGAACACGCGGTGGTGGGGCTGGCTGTTTGGCGAGACGAGATCGGACAGGAACCGGAACTTGGATCGACGACGGGCAGGCTGGTGGTGGACGAGGGCGCGGTCGTTCCAGGTGAGGAAAAAGACAGAAGGAGATCCGGAGGGCAACCATGGAGCCAGGACGGAGTTGTGGTTACCCTTTCCACTGAACATCGTCGACACCGCGGCGACGAGCACGCGCGCGGAAGTTGGCGAGGACGATATCGCGGACGATGCCCGACTGAGGGAGGTGGGCCATGTCCCACTGGATGTGAGAGGGCTTGGTGTCGTTCAGTGGGCGGATGACGGCCACGGGAACGCCGTTGAGGCTGAACAAGCCATTAGTCATGTTCCAGCTGAGTATCCGTTCGGGTAAAGGTCCTGAAGGGTCTGCCTGAGGTGCTTGCCGTCCCGCTCCCGCTTGAGCTGGGCGGCGTTATTGTCGACGTCGATGTAGATCTTGTCCAGCGTGGGGCTGGCCATAGTCCAGCCGTAGTGCGGAGCAGGCCACCGGCTTTACGGTCACGGTTAGGTGGATGACGAAGCGCTTCGAGGTGTCGGGGCCGAGGAGCTGCACCTGCTGGCCGAATGTGCAGTCAAGCTCGGAGAGCAAAGGCTGAAGAGCCTCTTGAAGAACATAGCGGGCAGTGAGCTCGGGCACGTTGACGCGAAGGATCGTCGCGTCGACCTGGCGCTCGAACTCGGTGAGGTCCAAAGTGTCTTTGAGGGGGACGGTGGCTTCCGCGACCGGCGAGGGCTTTCTGGAGCTCGGCGACGACCTTCGCAGTCTGCTGTTGCTCACTTCCGAACTTGTCTTGTTCACGACGCGCGTGGGCGAGATCCGCCTCGAGGGCGGTGCACCGGGAGTCGAACCTCTGCTCCCTGGTCTCGACGAGCTTGATGGTGGCGCCCATGGAGTTCTTAGAGGAGTCCTGCATGGAATTGTCGACGTGTGCGAGCATCTCCTGGCAGAAGGTGTGCATGGGGTCGTCATCGGGGTCAGCGATGCCGTCGGGAGACCCCGAGGCGGGGCGATTGCGTTAGGAGCCGGCCCTTGCGCGGGCCTGACGCTGACGAGTACGAGCACGGGTAGGACGAGCACCGTGCAGAGCAGTGCACTCCGCGCGAAGCTCAGGGGGCCTGCGCCTCCCCCGCGGCTGCGAAACCTCAAGCGAAATGTCCAGGGGCGGAACATTACCCTTGAGCCAAAAGGGCTACGGGCTTATGTATGTATGTAGATGTATGTATGCATGCATGTATGTATGCTTATGTGTCGATGTGTATGTTTGTATGTGTGTATGCAAAGATGAATGCGTGCTTGTTTTTGTATGTACGGATGTGTGGGTTTGCCTGGATGCATGTACGTATGCATGCATGTATGCATATACGCATGCGTGTATGCATGTACATATGTAGGATTGCATGCATATATGTGTATGATTGCTCGTGCCTATGTGTTACTGTATAAATGCATGTAGGTGTGATTGTAAGTATGCGAGCAACATGTGTGCGTGTGCGTTTGTGTGTGTACATGTGTGCACGTGGTTGCGGATGTGTGTATGTGTAGATATATATTTATACATAAATATATATGTGTATGTGTGTATGTATGAGTATATGCATGTGTGTATGTATATATGTATGCGTGCATGCTTGCATGCATGCATGTATGTATGCATGCATGCACGTATGTATGTTTGTACGTACGTATGTATGTATGTATGTATGCATGTATGTAGATCAGTATATAGGTATACAAACGTACATGTATGCATACATGTACAAGTTTGCATACATAGATTTACTCTCTCTGTCTGTATCTCTAGCTATCTCCCTCTCGTTTTCTCTATTCCCCTCTCTCTCTCTGTATTGCTCTGTTGCTATGTCTCTCTGTAGTTATGTGTGTACCTCTCTCTATATACAGCTATCTCGCTATGGTTTCTGTGCTCTCTCTCTCTCTCTCTCCCTCTGTGTATCCCTCTCGTTCTTCCCCACATGTTTTCATCAAGCGTTCCCCCTATACCTTTCAGAACGGCTGGAGGAGGACATAGTGAAACCAGTAGTGTGTGAAGGCTTCGGGTCAACGTTTGGGCACATATCGAGGGCAGAAACAAGACACCCTCATGAGACGCACCCTGACCATCGACGCCATTTAATAAGATCACCTAACAAGGGAGCGGACAGGCCAGAGCTGCTTAGTAAACGCCCAGGGGCTGTCCAGTAAACGCCAATTCTGGGAGTCGGGGCGCATTCTACTCTCCAGAAAATTTGCGTTTCGAAGCAAACAGGGGGAGGCGGTGGTTTGCCATAGGCGCCTTCGATAACTTACAAGGCAATGCCTCCTTCCTCCAGCCTGCCTCGACCCTCATCCTTCTCCCCCTTCCCCCCCCCGAGGCCCGACGTCACGAGAATTTCAACATCGTAGATATAAGCTCGACCGGATCCCTGTACCCACCAAGTTTGACGCAATGTTCGAGCCGGATCGATCCGTGAGTGCCCCTGGTCCCGAAGCAAGAAAACATCGCCCGTTGCGACAAAAGTGCGACGCCAGGATCCAGGATCTCAAGCCCGTCTCTCCTCCTCGTCCTGTCCCTCTGGGGCCCCAAAGCCGTGTGGTAACGGACCGCGTGGTGACCTCGGAATCCCCAACGACTTGACCGCACGTTCCGTCACCGCACGGTCTGAGGACCAGGAAGGCCCTGGTCGGCCGAGACGTCCTCGGAGAACGACCCGAGTCCCAAAACCGTGCGGCAAGCCCGGATCTCCACCCACGGCCCCCGAGGTCGTGAGTCTTCACAGCGTCGACCCCAGAGATCTGGATCCCTTCCCCGGGACCGTCTCTTAATCCTGAGAATTTTGTTCGACGGTCCCGAGGCCCCGTAGGGGCCCCCCGATGGCCCAGAAGAGCGGAAGACCTCCCGTCGCGATTCTTCCACGACGCGAGGGTGTCTGTACACGCAAGCATGGCTTAGCGATCCATGGATTTGGCGCGGCCAATGCCGCCTCGTCGGCGGCGGAAATCCGCGATTTCTCCTGGAAGCGGGACCCGTCGCTAATCCACGCCTCCCTTGGATCCCTGTTTGCGCTCGCCTGAATCTGGAACTGATTCACAACGTCGACCCCAGGGAGGTCTGGGCCTCTTCCCGGGGCCGTTTTCCAATCCCGAGTCTTCTTGGGCGGTCCCGAGGCCCGGCAGGGGCCCTGGAGGCCGAAAATAGCGAAAGACCTCCCGTCGCGATTTTTCCACGACGCGAGTGTGTCTGTAGAGGCCTCCCAGATGGGGTCGAAGTAGATGGGGTCGGAGGATCGCGCCGCATCGCCGATACATCGGCGATGCACCGGCGATGCATCGGCGATGCATCGGCGATGCACTGGCGATGCATCGTCGACGTGGGCGATCATCGGCGACGCCGGCGCGGAGAAAATCGGGCTCCGCATCGAGCCGCATCGACGATGCATCGGCGATGCGGCGCGATCCTCCGACCCCATCTGCTCCGACCCCATCTGGGAGGCCCAGAGTTAAGTCGGGCTTGTCCCCCTACAGGGGGATTTTGGGCGAAAAATTAAAAACACCCCGAAAACAATCCAAAAATGCTTCAGAATAGTCAAAAAATAGTCCCCATACTATTTCTTGATTATTTGTTGACTATTCTGGAAAATCTTCGTTTTTTTTTTTTTTTTGATTTTTCATCAAAAATCTCCCTGTAGGGGGACAGGCCCGACTTAAGCCTAGAGTCTGCGACTGGCTCACCGGGTGGCCACCACACTGCTTCCCTGACCTTCCAGAGAGCGATTTTTTAGCACTGGAGGCCTACAGAACCTAGAAGACGGAGCGAAGCAGCCTAAAACCGAGACGTAGAATAGCTCTAGGATCGGTTTTTAGGGCGGGTGCTATTTGTTAGCCCTCCTGGAAGGTCAGGATTCGGGGGGCCCGACTTAAGCCTAGAGTCTCCTCCTCCTCCTCCTCCCTCCTCCTCCTCCTCCTCCTCCTCCTCCTCCTCCCCCTCCTCCTCCCCCTCCCTCCCCCCTCCCTCCTCCCTCCTCGGCACAGTGGGTGGCCACCACACCGCTTCGGGGGGCCCCCGATGCCCTTCCCCGCCACGCTGCGCTCCCGCCCGGCGCCGGGCGCAAAGGGCCTTCGCGCGCTCCTCGGCCACCAGCGCGCGGTACTTCGCGTCGCAGGGGTGGTCCCACGTGCTGTCGCCTGCCCCCCCCCTGGGAGCGAAGCCAGGACTGAGGACAGCACAACCCACCCCCACCCCCACCCAGGGCACCCACCTCCGACCTGTGCCCCCACCCACCCAGGGCACCCTCGCGGCTCTTACAACCCACCCCCACCCCCACCCAGGGCACCCTGGACCACCAGGTCGGAGGTGGGTGCCCTGGGTGGGGGTGGGGATGGGTTGTGCTGTCCTCAAGGACGAGGATGAAATCGGGAGAGGACCCATCGGGGATCCCTGGAGATACAGCGGATCTGGAGGATGTCTCGGGCGCCGCGGCCTTCTCAGAGCGTTCCAGAGCGCTCTGAGAGCGTCCCAGAGCGCCCTGGGACGGATTCGCAGTCGTTCGGCGGTGGGCAAACTTCCCTTTAGTAGACCTCCCCTTAGTGAAAGCGGCCTGGGACCAAAACCGACGGACCTGATGACGGCCGCGACGCCCTCTCGCGAAGCGAAAACGGCCAATTCCTTCATCGACGTGTCAGGCAGGGTAGGAGGTCTATCCACCTGCGAGTCGTCCTGGCCCCGTCCGACCCACCCCCATCCTCCGCGGCGACGGCACCTGTCCGAGGGCGGACGCGAGGGAGGGCAGCGCCAGTTCGCGGAGCTCCGCCCCTCGGGCTGCAGTGGTGCGCGAGCTGCGGCCGGTCTCACGTCGGGCGTGCCCCCCTACAGGGGGATGTCCGAGGAAAACTTAAACGTACCGCAAATATACCCCCACAAAAAAACACAAAAGCAATCCCCATACTATTTTTGTGGACTGTTTGTGGATTGTGTGTTTTGAGAAGAAAGAAGAAAAACATCGAACATCCCCCTGCAGGGGGGCAGGCCCGACTTCAGGCTGGTCGTGCCGTGCTCCCTGGCGCCGCGCCCCAGACTTCGGTGTCGCGGTCGAGGCCTTCCGAGAGGGGCGGGCCCGCGCTCCAGGCGCCGGGCCGCGGAGCACGGGAGGCGCGGTCGAGCAGCGGCGCGCCGCGCGCGCGAAGCAGGGAAGGCGTGTGCGTACGGCAGGTTCGTGTCGTGCCGACCCCAGCGCTGGTTTTTGACACCGCAGGGATCGTTCAACCTTGAACGACTGGCCGCTGCCGCAACGTCCGATCGTTCAACATCGATCGATTCTGGGTCGCCGGCGGCGTTCAACCTTGAACGCCCGCGCTGGGGTCGCCGCTGGTCGACACGACGCGAACCTAACGTAAGTCGGGCCTGTCCCCCATACAAGGGGATTTTCGGCGACAAAGCAAAAACTACCTTAAAACATGCCCCCGAAAAGGTCAGCAGATACTGAACCAATCGTCCCCAGAGAATATTTTTGGACTATGTTTGGACTACTCTTTGTGTATTTTCTTTTTTCGTCGCAAATCCCCCTGTAGGGGGACAGGCCCGACTGAAGATTAGCGACCAAAGAGACGAACCTACACAATATCCCGTAGGTAGAGGTAGGCAAGGAAGGGGGTCGCGAGTCCTTTTTTCCAGGGCGCTGGGATGAAGGCAGCGCGGGATGTTGTACCAATACCTGGGCCGATACGTTAGCGGTGTGTAAGTATATGATGGTGATAGGAGCGGACTTCACACACAGGGAAAAGCATGGGGGGATGCGGGAGGCGCCGCTGCAGCAGAGGGAACTGCACATCGGACGCGCCTGCCCGATCCATCGAGAGGGGCACGAGTGCACACCACGTTAATCCTACTTGCGCGTGCTTGCTCTCGCCGCACATGCGAAGCAATTTTCGCTCCCATCCTCCCATTTCTACGGGCGGGTGGCGTGGAGGACATGAAAGTACTGAGAAGGCAGGATGGCAGGGAGGCGCACAACAACTAGCACAAAACAGTAAACGAACAGCAATAAACGAATCACCAACTTCAAACACACCCACACACAAACACATATCACTTCAAACATGCCTATTCCGACATGCGCCCGTCACTCTCAACATATACGAGTATGCCTAATTACACACACATACTACCTTCCTTGTCATACTGACAACGGGGGCCTAAATTGGTGGACGCGTGCGTAAACGCACATATGGAAATACGCGTGCACACATGCATTGGCACATAGGGGGCACACTTCTCTCTTGACTCTGCGACGGGATGCCCCGCACTCGCTCGCCCCTTGGACTTTCACTCCTTCACCCCTGCACCCAGTCGCCGATCCCTAAGCCAACCGAAAAGACTTACTCATTGGATTTACGCGCTCGATGATCATTGACGGCCCCCTCCGCGCCCATCAGCGACTGTTCATTTTCTTTCCCGGCTAACGGTCATTGCCCAGGGGGTGGGGTCCGGGCGGGGGGGGGGAACGGAAACGGACGGCGGCCGTGGCGTGCACCCGCCAGGGTGCGTCCGCGCCACCGGCGCAGCAGCAGCCAGTGTGGGCCACAGCATGTGTAGGAGGGGTGTGTGCGCCCCCCCCCCCAATATGTACGCTTGTCAGCGTAAGTCGGGGAGGGGTGTGGGGGGGTTCGGCCCGGGTAACGAGCGTCACCCTGGGGAGGGAAAAGCAGACTCACCGATTGTCATAAAAAAGAAACGCTTGAACTAGGAGGGGATCTTCTAGCATAGGGAATGGGTCTTGAACCCCGTGGGTTGAACATGTGGGAATAGTTGTGGTCTTCTTTTCTCTTTCTATGTCTATGTGTTTGTTGTGTCAATCTCTCTCTCTCTCTCTTTGTATGTCTGTGTGTATATATGTTTACATATCTGTATGTAAACTTATCATATGTCCCACCTCCTTTTTGTGCAGCATTGAAACTACCTTTTCGAAGTGTTCTAGATCTGGCGACAGCTACATTCCCAATGGAAGCTTGTGCTAATCAAGCTGGCATCCCTCACTGGGGCGTGTCCCATGCTTACTGGCATCTCGTTGGGGTCATACTCGCATTCAAGCGAACTACTCTGGACCTGTGTCTGCCTCGTTTCTACGGGGGTCCGATTGCAATCCGACTGAAACCTTCTGGATCTAGGGTTTGCTACTTTCCTGTTCGGAACAAGTTAATTTCGCATTGCGACTCTATGCAACTTGGATGTGCTCCACTTCGAATGGTGTCCTACAGGATCCCAAAATGGATGGGCTAGTTGGGCGTTGTCCCAATCTGTCAGGCGGAAGCGAGACGATCGTAAAACAACGTTACGCGCGTTTTGCCAAGTGCAAGTCAAATTCGCCGCTGCGAAACAAGCGCCGCCACGAACAAGCGCAAACGCAACACCACACACAAAGCAACTTGGGAAACACAAGTACACAAGTAAGTACACCGCGAACAGTTCCATGCGAAGGAGCGTGGGCACCAGATAGTCAAAACCTTGCTCTGCCTGAGGTTTTGCAGAATGTTGCTCGGATGTCTTGGGATGTCCTGCACGTTTTTTGGATGATCCATATTCTCTATGTGTTGTTTTCCAATTTCGCCCGCCTGCTTCTGGCGGCTCGGGGATTGGCGCAGCCCCAAGGCGCGAACAGGCAAACAAAAACTCAAACAGTAGAACCACAAGAAAAAAGAGAAACGAACAGACCTTAAGACATACATGCGTAAAAAAAATCCGCCGACTCTGTCGGCGTGCGTGGGGGGTCTGTCTGGTCCCGTCGACTGGACGCCTTTTCTGTTTATCCTTCCCCGTCGGGAGGGAGAGAACACTCTCCCGTCGTCGGGGGAAAAAGTCCGGGGATTGAGGGAAATCGACCCACGTCGTAGTCACGTCAAAGGACAGCCCCATCCGTTTGTCCCTTCCCCGGCGGGGGTGGGAGGGGGTCCCGGGAAGAGGGGGGGGGTCAGATTCGCATCGCCTCTGGGGGTCCTACTCTCCCACGCCTGTCCTTCTCCGGCGCGCTGGTCCTTCTCGGGTCCTCCCCCCAGGCGGGGAAGAGTCCCAGCGGGGGGGGAGGGGAGTCAGATACGCATCCGTCCCTGGGGGTCCTCCTCCCCCTCCCCTCCCCTCCCCTCTCCCACGCCGGTCCTCCTCCGGTCCTCCTTCCCAGGGGGGGGGGGTCCCAAGGGGGGGGGGAGTCCTTTTCCTCCGTCTCCTCCTCTTCCTCCTCCTCCTCCTCCTCCTCCTCCTCCTCCTCCTCCTCATCTCCGCCTCAGCCTCCTCCTCCTCCTCCTCCTCCTCCTCCTCCTCCTCATCCTCCTCCCCCTCCTGGTCGTCGTCGATTTCATTAAGGGTCGGCGGCACCGGCCGTCAGGCCTTTACAATCCATAAGAAACCAAACGCTTTGGACATCAGATAGCCACCAAACCTGTGAAAACACAACGTTTTGGCGCCTCGGCGTCACAAGACATTATGCTTTCACAAATTTCGTGGGCACCAGCTGTCCCAAATCGTGTTGGTCCTTGGTTGTACAACTTTTAACGCATGGATGTCTTGGGATGCCCTCAATATTTGTCTATTGTTTTGCACTTTCTGTGAGTTTCGCCTGCGTGCTTTTGGCGGCGCGAGGGTCGGCGCAGCGCCAAGGCGCAAACAGGCGCATATGCAAGAGAGGCTCGCAACAACAAGTACGCGAAAAAGCAGCAACACCCGAAGAAAACACATGTTCTGGACACCAGAAAGCCACCAAGCCTGTGAAAGCACAAGTATCCGTAGCTCTGGCTTTAAGTCGGGCGTGTCCCCCGACAGGGGGATTTTGGACGAAAAATAAATAGTAGCCAAACAATATTCAAAACATACGCATCACTTGTAAAATCAATTCGTCCCCAGACTCTTTGTTTGACTACTTTTGAAGATTTCTCCTGTAGAGGGGCGGGCCCGACTTAACCGTAGCTCTGGCTCAAGGCCGCTCCGGGCTCGAGGGCCAGACGGGCTCCGGGCGCAGCCCCCGCGCGGCCGCGGAGGGGGGGCGGGGCTGCCCGCGGCGCGGGGCGGCAGGGCGCCCTATATAGGGGCTGCCCGCCCCTAGCGCGCGGCGGGCCGGCGCGGAGGCCGCCGAAGGCACCCCCCAGTGCTCGTGCTCGACGGCCCTGAAGGGGCCCAAGGACACACACATAAATACACA